GCCTCCTGGTATTGGACACTCCTGAAGTTCTGGGGCTGAAGGTCTGAACGGATGGTTTCCTCCTCCAGGATCTTCTGCCCAGTTCTTGCCCAGATCTCCCCACAGCTCCCAGGCTGAACAGCAGAAGGGCCTTCTCCAGTCCCCTCACTTGCTGAGGGTTGTGTCTCCATTCTTTCCCTGTCCTGTAAGGCAACTCCAAAGGGGTCCAAGGAATCTTGTGGCTGTCCAAATGCCTTTTCATTCATACAACTTTTCCTGTAGCTGAGGAATGACTACAGCAGGCCAGAGCCCTCTTTGCACAAGAGAGAATTTTGTCTGTATGAGGACCTACAAAAGCTTCCAGTTTGTATGTCTGAGTTGTAAAAGAAAAGAAATTCCAAGAATTAGAAAGTGATGGATTTCACCATTGAACAACACTCATCCCCATGGAAGGCACCATTTTTCTGAGCTGGTATAGGATTGCAGTGGGATTCAGCAGATAAATCCTGTGTTTATTTATGTGTGTGTTGCAAAATATGGGGTTGACTTCTATCAAGGACTTGGAATACTCAATGAATGCATTTTGGAGCATTTTCTATTTCTTTTTCTCAGAAGGAAGGGCTGGCTTTTTAAAAACCCATATCTACGTTTCCCTACAAGCAGGATTCACACAACATGCCAAATCCCAAACAGGTTAACAAACCACCAAAGTTCAGTTCAGCTAAAATGCAATGGCAGTGAAATGAGCCTGGCTTGGGATGTTGTACTTCCCTTTCTTCAGGGTTTGATTTTAAGAGCCAAGTCACACCAGGACAGGCAGGCGGGTTCAGATAACATGCTCTAAGCCCAAACCCCCCCCCCCCCCCACAACTGCAGGGGCCGAGTTGACACAAGGCACAGGCCTTGAAGGAAGAAAGCTTAAGAGGATGATCTGGTTCACTCACCTCCAAGACAAGTTGAACTGCAGAGGATCCAGCCCTATTTCAGCCTGATCAGCACGTGGTGAGAATGCAGGCTCAATCTCTGGGACCTCCTTCCTTGCAAGGCTTTTCTTCTTTCTTGCTTGAAATTTGCAATGCAAACTCTCCGTCTCCCCTCCCACGCCCCTTGGAGGCCATGGTGTTCCCCTCTGTTTGCAGAGGGAACCCCCTCGTGGATGATGTGTGCAATGCAAGACCTAATGCAAAGGGTGTTATTTCCATGCGGTGAGGAGGAAGGGGGCTGTGGTGTCCCCACATCAGGAAGCCTTCTCCACCCAGCTGTTTCGACAAGTTTAGAATGTCTCCAATCTTCCATTTTTAAGAGAGGTTCTGGAGAAAGTTGCGTCCTCATTTAGAAGGAGTAGATGGAGCAGATAGGAAATGGAATTCAGCATTTTTCTTGCATAAGAGGATAAAAATAATCCTGTCTTGATTCTGTATCCCATAAAAGAGGTCAGTGGGAAACTCTGACAGGCTTTCAAGCTGCTGTCCTTTTGCCCCACAACAACATTGCAGAGCTCCAAAAGACTTTGTGGTGTCCAATTCCTGACCTGGCTTCCTGAAAGGGCTGATGGTCAGTTTCTGGCCAGGATACAGGATGGTGTGAGAGGAAAATTTTAGTAGCCTTCTATATGTTTTAATGTTAGTTTTGATTGCAT